GTTCGCATACAAAACAGACTGCTTTCTGTTTCTCTGTGCGTCTAAGCGCTTTCCTACGTGCTTGCTTTAAACTTGTAAACTGAACTGCCAACGAATTTCGGCCTGGCCGGAACACGTCATGGGCCAGAACCGGCTGTAGACTAATGCTGGAAAATATGAGTAAGTAGATCCTTGGCAGATTTTCCATTTATTTTTCTTTATTAGTTCTATTTTAAAAGTCGAGTATCACTGACTGACGTGGGACAGTTGCTTTTGAATGTTGATACTTATTTAATTTTCAAGTCTCTTTTTTCTTCCTTTCTAATGCTGCTGTTGAGTGAGACGCAGGTACTTTGAATGTTGGTAAATTCTTACTTGATTCGAAGTTTTTTTCTTATTCTCAGGGGGCACGGGTCTATTCTTGTTCAGTGGATTAAACAGAATATTTTTCAAGATAGTTAACGGTGCAGTTTTTCATTCAGAATCGTTATCCATTTTTTGAGCAGCAATTTGTAGCTTGAGCAACAGGTACAAAAGAAAAAGCAACGAGGGAAATTCTAAAAGTTTTATTTAAGAAAAAACAGATAAATCGTTAAATAGGTGCCAAGTTTTTTGTGAGAGTGAAGAAAATTCTTAATAGAATAATCGTCCCAGCTTCTCATTTCACTAGAACAATGCACACTTATACGAGTGCTTACTTTTCGCATCATCGTCGATGGTGTAAGCGATCATCATTATAATTATCATCAATGATTCGTCGTCGTCGTCGTCGTCGTCGTCATCATCATCATCATCATCATCATCATCATCATCATTATATTATCATCATCATAATCATAATCATAATTATTGTCCTCGTCATTGTTGTCGCTATTGTTCGTGTTGTTTAGATATTGGAAGAGAGGAAAAGAAGAAAAGTTACTCGGTGAATTTCTCGGTAGTATTCTATGGACAGCTCTTTGCCAGTTTATCCCTTACAGCCCGAACAAGTATAGTTATATTATAGCAGCGAGTTCTAAAGGGTGAATGCACCTACGCGCACACCTCATGGGCATCGTCTTCAGCTTGTACTGGCCGACCTTGAACCATGTACTACACGAGGCCAACATACACGTTATTCGGTGCTTCTCGTCTACCAGAGTTAGGCAAAATTTATTTCGAAATGTGAATGAAAAATAATGAATAAATCCTGGGACTTTATTGGTTATTTGAAATAACTCTACGACGAATAAGCGCCACGAATAAGGGATATCGTTTTACATGTGTGGGTAGGAATCCGAAGGGTACCATGCTGCAAAGGGAACCCCGTTCGAGATCATTGATGACGTACATACATATTTATATAGTCATCTCGAGCGGACGAGTCATCGTTGGTTTTTTCGAATAAATTTTTATTTGAATAAAAGATTACTCATTATTTTCGAATAACTTCATTGTATTCGCAACTTTCTTTATTCGGACGTATTTGAAAGAATTTGAGTTTTTTAAACGATAACGGTGGTGCAAGGATAGATTTAAAAGGTAGACACCTTACTTTTTGACAATTCAAAAACTTGAAATTATGCTTTTATTTTTTAGTGGATCAAATGAGTATAAGTACATAAGACTGTTTGCAGTATAATTTTGATCCTGTAAGTATTACCTTTAGCACCGAAAGAAGAATCGAAAATTTGAGTTTTTTTAAATATAAAGAGAAGCAACAAGCTTTCGATATTTTATGGATGTTGAAATTAAAAGTAAAACAACAGACAAAGTTGTATTGTAAGATATTTAAATTAAAAAATTTAATTTTTAAGTTGCTTCAAGACAAGATCCCTAAAAGAGACTGAATAAAAAGTGACCTAATGCAACATTCGATATATGCATTTCTTTTTAACTAAAATTGATCTAAGATTCCTTTGTATAAAATATCTGGGGTTATAATTATTGTTAAAAAATGATTAAAAAATTTGAAAATGGACTCCTTTATGGAAACTGTTGATGTTGTAAAAGGGGAGAAATATTGAAGAACGTCGTGTTGCGTTCTGTTCCACATAATTTTACGCTAAATATTGGAGGCTATGATAATTCTGTCCTATCTGGCAACTATTACGAAGAAATTTCTGGGATTTCCTTGTGCAAAGTCCAAGAAGCGTAGCAATACTGGCTCGCTTGCCCAGTTGCTTGCTTGCCATGACCATCAAACCATAGTATTCATCTGCCTAGATTCTTCTATTCCATTACTTACATTTCTTACAACTGTATCCGGATACATTTAACTAAAGCCCAACACTTGATAAGAAATGACAGAAACAATTACATTGTACTTTTTGAGTTTGAAAAGTCACGTAATCTTGTCGAGCAACTTTTTCTTGTGAGCTTCATTCTTCCACTATTGATATTATAAAAATGACTCTTTCGGATATTGATCGATAGGATTTTTATACATATTTCAATTGCAACGCTGTTTGGGACATCAGAAATTAAATAAACGACGCAAATTTGTATCTATCAGATATTTTCAAATCTCAGTACCCTTATTAGGTGAATCTCAATTCTGTATCGAATTAAACAATTTAATTTGCATAATTTTGATTTTTGCAAGTATTTCACAGTTTATTGCAGAAACAATCGTTGCAAATATTACAAGTGAATAGGATGGCAATCGTGTAAAAGTTTTACACTTCGGAACGTTCTTTCTTTATAATAAAGTATTTACAATATTTACTATTTAAAACATAAATTAACTATCCAGATTAATATTTACGTGCATAGTTGTTCCTGTGTTTCACACGTTGCAAGAACGTTTACAAAAATTTATATTTGATGACCACATTGGAAATGGTGTAATAGTTTAAATATTGCAGAGTTTAAGCAAGTAGATATCGAAGGTAGGGTATTTAATGTTAAGAATTTGCAAGTTGGTGAACTGGTAATCTGGCATGATTACTGCAAATTACAGCATGTGTGACGAGTTCCTAGTTAACGTAATAGTTTTCTATTCCGGGAGCGATGCATTGAAATCTCCAGCTGGATCCGCGTGTTCTAATTGCAATTTGTCGTATTTCAAGTATTTTTAGAAAGATTTTATAATCATTAAAGGGATAGTTTAACAAGATGCACCTTCGTTTTCTGCGATTCGTGTTTGATTGAACCTTTGCTACCTTTGTAGGGTAAAGTAAGAAAATATAGCGAAAATTTGTCCCGTACCGCCAAATAAAGTTCAGTGCGGAGTACATCAAAATGTCTACAGGACACAGCCGCCCCGTGTCGTTAAATAGAAAAGTCCTAAAAAAAAGCTGCCGCAGTGAAAGTATTAAAACACGTTGTACGCAGTGGATATATAGGGTATATTATACATGGAACAAAAAAGAAATGTTTGAATTATTACAATATTCAAAGCACATCAAAGTATATAGTGAACTTTGAAATCCCCCCTCCCTTCGTGATGTCGCTAATAACCCAGGCAAGAGGTCGATGCGATATTAAACAACCAAGGAAAAATTTATGTTGTTTAATTTTTATATTGAATTATGCTTTGCTATTATTGTTAAAAATAAATAATTTATGAGCAGTGTAATACACTATTCATTTCCTAGGTATAAAAAGATGCTACACAGGTGCTTTTAATGAACTGTTTTCATAAGTTATAATATATTTTAATCGTTTTAGGCTTTGTTATTTATCTTCTTTAATACGCAAATGCAGACTGCGAATAAAGAGTAAATTTTAGAAAAGAATCGATCAAAATTCTGTTCTGCAAAATTTTTGTTTCATTCTTAAGAGTTTCTACGCATTAAATTTTTCTTTATAATATTTGTCAACTATTTTAAAAAATTATAATAGCACCAAACAAAATCAGAAGGTTCTGTTGTTCTTTCTTTTATCGAAATAGACTCGAGCAAGAACTTTGTAACCCCAGGTAGTGTTCTTGGGTAGTCTTTCTAACGAGTAAAATATAAGAGTGGATATTTAATATATTTTAATTGAACTACAAGTATTAACGTATGCTAACACAGCGAGGTCAGTTTCTGAGATAAAGCTGCTATTCTTTTTCTTCTTCTTTTATTCGACTTTATTTCTAACGAAAAACAAGGTGTTTACCCTTGCCACAGTTCGACTGGCTTTCTTTTAACGCTGTTTAATTAGGCATAACACCTTTTTTGTCTTTATATTTGCAAATATACTTTACAGCTTGTTCCGCTATAACGTGAGATTTCTACTGAAACTTTGGAAAGATTACGGAATAAAGGAATTATGTAATTATGCAATAATACCTA